TAGGAGACTGGGCCCAGCCAAAGTGAAGATAATAAATAAATGGAAAGGAAGTAATTCACTGGCAGGACAAGCTAGGATACAAGTACACATTCAATTTTCATCACCGCAGCAGCTATCTGGTGTATCTTTTCATCTTTTTTTTTAAATCGGAAAATGAACTAAGGTTCCATAATGTGCCAAGTTTGTTATCTGTTTCTGAGCTGAAGGACATTCCCCTCACCTCAACATAAGCACAGCTCTGAGCTGGAAGAGAGGCTACAGATTCTCTGTAGTCCAATACAGGAAACACAATGTTGCCAGCCAATCAAGACAAAAAAAACTACAAAACAGACAGAAGATATTAGAAACACCAATCAAGCAGAACACAGCAAACTCCAAGACCAATAAACACAGACCAAGACTCCCAACCAATCAGGATGAAGAAAAAACCATTCTGGCACAGCAGTAGGCTAGCCCCAGATTTAAAACTGAAACAACTGTAAAAGTCTGACTCACAGATGAACACAATACAGAAGCCTGATGATGGCAGATGAGATTCTGCCGAAACGTTGCTACAACTTTAAAAGCACAACTATAATGATGTGGGAAAATACCTGAACAAAGCTGAATACCAGACAGACAGACAGACAGAGATAGAGATAGAGATAGAGATAGAGATAGAGAGAGAGAGAGAGAGAGAGAGAGAGAGATATGTGTGTGAAATTTGTTTTCTTAAGTTTTCGCGGGTACCTATATGTATGGTATTCAGCTTTGTTCAGGTATTTTCCCACGTCATTATAGTTGTGCTTTTAAAGTTGCAGCGACGTTTCGGCAGAATCTCATCTGCCATCATTAGGCTTCTGTATTGTGTTCGTCTGTGAGTCAGACTTTCACAGCCATTTCCTCTTTTTGATATATTCCTCTACTTTTGGACTCTTTTGAGTCCATGAGAGCTCAGTGGCTAATAAATGTCAATAAATGAAAGTAAATAATTTGAAAGGAACAATAACTTCTTGAAGGCCGTGACAGTAGTCCTTGGTTTACAACCAACTGGTTACTTAGCGGCCATTCAGAGTTCTGACAGGCCTACCTGAGGGGATAGTTATGATCTGGATGCAAAGTTCTGATGGTAACACACACACCCCCACACACACATCATGTGTTGGCCACATTTATGGCTATTTGTAGCATCCCTCGATCACATGACCACATTTTACAACATTTTGCTGAAAACTGGCGCCTGTTTCCGGGTTTTGGCAAACCATTGGTTCACTTAACAACTGTGGATTTGCTTAACAACCAGGTTGATTTTACTTAACAACTGCCACAAAAAAGGTTGTATTTTTATGATTGTGACAAGTAGATTCCACTAAGGTTGTAACTCGAGGACTGCCTGTAATGCATTACCCACAAGACGGGTACAATAAGACCCAAAGAAAGCCCTCAACGGCCTCAATTTCTATCAAGCCGAGTTTCCAATTTCTTAAACCATGTAGGAATGGAGCTCAGTTAGTCTATGAGGGCAAAACCTCAGGAGAGGTCAGGTGGAGTTTTTTCTGACATTTTATTTAAAAAAGCATAGATGTTCGTGAACTGCTACCAGACCATTTTTTGATCTATTTCCTAAAGGGACCGGCTAAATGTCTTCAGGAATCCTACGGAGCACCAGATGCTCCCTCTGAATGGTTACTAATTATCACAGATGATTACCAAAGATCCTGCCTTCCCTATGGATTCTATCTAAACCAGTGATGGCGAACCTATAGCATGCAGGTGGCACGCAGAGCCATTTATATGGGCACGCAAGCCCCAGTCAAACTTACCTGCACTGCGCACGTGCGTGCCTCCCAGCTGATTTTCGCCCCATTTGAGGCAGTTTTTGCCTTCCTGGAGGCTCGGGGGAAGCCACTGCAGCCTCAGGAGGTGGAAAAACGGGCCTTCCAGACATGCTAGAAGTGCTGAAACAGGCCTGTTTTTAGTCTCCAGAGGCTTCCCTTGAGCCTCTGGGAGGGCAAAAATGGTCTCCCCCAAGGCCCCCTGGATGCTGAAAATGGGCACTTCCGGTATTTCTGGAAGGCCCGTTTTTCGGCCTCCCGAGGCTGCAGAGGTTTCCCTCGAGCCTCCGGGAGGGCAAAAACGGCCTCAAACGGGCTGAGAATCACAACAGACGTTTTGGGCTCAGTTGAGGTCATTTGTCGAGGGCTACTTGTACCCGCTTTGCTGTGAACTCGACATCTGGTTTCTGTTCCTTTTGTGGCGATTTTATAAATGTGCTTCCGCTTCCCTCATTTCCCTCACCTTAGAAACATCTCGATCCAAGAACGGTGAATTTAAAGTTAGTAGAGCACATCAGAAAAATGTTCTCTATGGCAGATATATAAAAACCCTTATCGCATTGACTGAATTTTGTCATTTTTTTATACGGAGGGGGAAAAAAATCTCAAATGCTCAATTTGGACAAAGAGTATTATTGGTTGTAGATCATTCTGGATCTCTCTCTCTCCCTCCTGTGCCCAACTCTATTATCTCTCCCTGGCTTGCTCGCTTCTGACAAAGACAAACTCAATGGGAAAAGCCAGATTCGCTTAACAATTACACAACACTTAACCGCTGGGAATTGTTTAACAATAAACAAACAAAAAGGTCTTAAGTTGGATGCAACTGTGAATATATATATATATATTAGAGTAGATGATTCCTATATAAATGTATCAGGCCTAAATAAAACAGGCATGAACCAACATTCTTATCCAGTAACAGAAGTGCCTGTAATTTTCCTAAAAGATTGCAACTTATGAACCAGAAGAATGAAACCATGAGAAATGAGGAACTAAAAGTAACAAGATGGCTGAAAGTTTCAGTTGTACACAGGTATATGTGGAAACTGATGGTCAGTCAGAAAGGAAATAAGGAAGTGGGTTATGTGGTTAGAAAAAAACTATAAAGGATAGGGTTTGAGATCAGCTCGGGGGTCCTGTTTGGCTTTAGCTGTCCTTAGGATCTGCTTGGTCAGGGGATCCCATTGCAATGGCTTATTAATGTAAGTGTATTACTACTATTGTATCTTTTATATCTATTCATTTCTTATGTTCCAAATTATTAGAAACAATAAACCTCTGATCTTAAAGTAAGAATTTTTGTTTGTGTTGCTGTTTCCTATTGATATTTTTTTATGACCCAACTCTCTTAATAACTGCCTCCTTGAGCAACAGAAGCATTCCAGAGCTACATCCTAGAACAGTGGTTCTCAAGTACAGATAGTCCTTGACTTAAGGCTTAAGATTTAAACTGAGCCAAACATTTCTGTAGGTAAGGGAGACATTGTTAAGTGGGTTTTGCCCCATTTTATGGACATTCTTATCACAGTTGTTAAATGAATCACTGCAATTATTAACTTAGTAACCCAGTTGTTAAGTAAATCTGGCTTTGACATTGACTTTGCTTGTCAGAAAGGTCGCAAAAGGGGATCACCTAACTCTGGGACACTGCAACTGTCGTAAGTATGAGTCAATTGTCAAGTGCCTGAATTTTGATCATGTGACCATGGGGAATGCTGCAATGGTCGTAAGTGTAAACAAAAACAGTCATAAGCCCCTTTTTTCAGTGCCACTGTAACTTTGAACGGTCACTAAATGAACTGTTGTAAATCGAGGACTACTTGTAATTATGATCCACCCTTCTTAAAAGTTGCCAAGGTTGAGAATTACTGCCCTGGAAGTAATGTTACTTGGGCAGCCTTACAACTTTCAAGTGTGTGCTATGGCCTTTTTATACAAACAGAACTTGTACCGCGACTTACGCTGTGTGTTTAGCTAACTACCAAGTCATTCAGCACGATGAAGAATTGATGGTATCAAGTCTCATTACGATATTTAAGATTCAGCCATGCAAATTTTATATCCCTTTTACTAACTTAACATTTTAAGCATCGCTTAGGCTGTTCTGAACATCAAAAATACAGAGGAGTTGTAAATCATATTGCAATGGTAATGAACTGAAGAAAAAAAACAAACACCCAGTCTGCTTTCATGGGAAATTCACTGACATGAAGGTTTTATGCAACAACAGAGCTCTGATGCGCCCAGCCCCACCCACCTTGAAGTGGAGAAAATTCCCCAAGGAAAATTGTCAATCAAATGCAACCGGAATTTCTCAAACCTATCTTTAGAAGAACCAATTATGTAGGTGTACACAAAAGGCTTTTTAAGCCTTAAAATGGGTACAAATTCTTTTGAACCTGATAGGATAGCAGAGCCAGAATCAGCCAGAATCGTAGGGAAAGGTTACAAATATGAATGACAGCTGAATGCAATGAAATTTCATTTTAATGTATGCTGATTAATGTACATTTAAAGTGTCAAAGTGACAATATTCTATTCCTATTCCATTCCATTCTATTCTAAATACGTTGGGTTGAAAACAATAAAAACTGTAAACCCCTGATGTAAATCTCAACTTACAGTAATTCATTTAGTGACTGTTCAAAGTTACAACTTCACTGAAAAAAGTGACTTATGACCCATTTTTCACACTTCCAACCATTTCAATCAAACAGTGTGTTGCCTGGATACAATTGCTTTTAGGCAATCATCATCGAAATGTTTATTTTATAATATTTTATAGAGCTGTGGTGGCGCAGTGGTTAAAATGCAGTACTGCAGGCTACTTCTGCTGACTGCTGGTTGCCGGAAGTTCAAATCCCACAGGCTCAAAGTTGACTCAGCCTTCAGTTCCAACTTATTAGGGTGACAGTATGAAGTATTTTAGCTAAAAAGCTTCATGTTTTGAACTTCAAGGTTTAAAATGTTCCTTTTCTTTCCCAACCTTGCCTTAAGAGCCAGAAGTTTTCCTTCTCCCACCAGGTAAGTTAAATATCTATACCAGGGGTCCCCAAACTTGGCAACTTTAAGACTTGTCGACTTCAACTCCCAGAATTCCTCAGCCAGCTCTGGGAGTTGAAGTCCGCAAGTCTTAAAGTTGCCAAATTTGGAGACCTCTGATCTATACAGAGACATACAGACCTTTGTAATTCACGGTGCGGAGACATTGTTTGCTCTGGATGTCCCACAGCCGAACGGTTTCGTCATGCGAGCCAGAGAGCAGAAGGCTTCCATCAGTGGAGACGGAGAGACACGTCACCTGATTCCTATGGAAAGAAGATGACAGGGGCTTTACTTGAGGTTCTTCAACGTTTTCGCAAGTGGTGCCGTCAAGAGAGGATCTGGGTCGAGAAGTCCCTGCTCTTGCTTGGCAGAAGGGATTTGCCGGTTCTCCTACTTCTTCAACATCTACGGTAAGTTGAAAACAAAAATCATATTACACTCTGAAGAGCCCCTCTCCTTCCTGCATGGTAACATTTATGACCTTTGCAGGACTGTAAAACGAAAGAAAGCTGAAGTAAGGTTGTAAGCACGCTAAATTTAGAGGCCACCCATCTCACTATCCAAAGTGACTCTCTGGGAGGCTTACCGACCGCATTGCTTAATGACTGGGTTGCCAGTCCTGATTCGAGTATTAAACAAGGAAACCGGTCTAAAATGACTAACTTTGATTTTGAAGGGTCCTTGGCAGTCTGTGAATTTGCCTGCTTTCTTGCAAACGTTTCATTAGCCAAACTTGGTAACATCCTCATGGGAACACCTGCAAGAAAATAACTAAGCCTGGAGAGCATCAAGGACCCCTCGTTTCAATCCTACAAATATTCTCCTTTATTGGAAGTTTATTTATCAGTATCATTTCCATATTTTTTTTTATTAAGAAAGTGGTTGAAATGGTGCTTGAGATGTCTATGCTCCCACATTCTAGCCCTCCTCACCGAGGTCCTCTTAACCTTATTGGATGGTACTGGCCACAGAGAGGGACTCACACTCAAAGGTACCTGCTCACAGAAGGTCTGAGTCTCCCATAAGGTCACTGCTATCGTGATATGTTCTTTCTTTCCTTGCTCTTATTTCTCAGACCAAGATGGAACCAAGATTAGCTCCGATTCCTCATCAAGGTACAGATAGTCCTCAACTTACGACCATAACTGAGCCCAAAATTTCTATTGCTAAGCCATTGTTAAGTGGGGTTTGGGCCCATTTTAGAATAGAATAGAATAGAATAGAATAGAATAGAATAGAATAGAATA